ACTGTTGGTCAGAGCTGACTCATAAATTGCTTCACGGCTTCACGCAGATGTGCAGAATTAATTTTTTTCACAGAATCAGGTTGGGCTTTTGATGAAATTTTTAACAAAACAGCATGTCATGCATAAGGACCTTTGAAAAGCTGAAAATCTGATCATTCTTTCTGCTTTTACAGTCTCTGGCTCTGATAAACGGTGTAATTTTGCCAATTTTGTGTTGAAAGAAAACATGGCTTCTAAACCTGCTGCTGGGTTTTGGGTGGTTCATGGGGCTACCGTTCCCTTTCTGCTCGACAAATAAAATAAGATGGTTTTCACTTTAATGGAAATTCTTGTTTGCGGGTTAAAGCAGGTGTTTGACTCGTGCCATGAATTCTCGAGAGACCCAAGGACTGTATAAACAACTACAAGTGTTTCCTCATTCACGGCCTGATCGAGGAGAATCAGACATGACATGATACAAATGAACACTTGCTATTCCAATTGTGAACCTCCTCCCGTCAGCAGGGTTGTATATTACTACGCAGAGAGCTCATCACAGGCCCAACCAAGGTTACTCTTTAGACATAAAACAAGAGACCAGAGGCGCCGCGTATTGCCACCGCCACTTGCCACGGATGAGGGACAATTGTTTACCTCTAATTGGCCTATGTGCTGCCTTTGGAAACACTGCTGTAACAACTTATCTTGTATAAGACTGTCGATGGAGTCAGAGTGACCCTTTGGCCCGCTGCCCAGAACGCTGGTAGCAGAAATTCCCCTTACATCTACCTATCAGTGTCTTTGCCACAAGCCGCTGTTTTCATCTATTTACACGACAATTTAGAGCTGCTGCAACAACATATATACATAAGCAATAGAAGCACATTATAGCCTGGGATACTTCACCGCCTTAGAAATAATAAATTACAGCTCAGCGCCTTGACAGTTGCGCTATTAAAAAGTGCGTATGGTAAAAGCAGTTACCGCTGCTTTTGTTTCAACACCGTCCCTCCTCCGTTATCAGTCCACAAATGAAAATTACAGCATGGGGGCAAACTCCACTTGGGGGACAGATATGAGGCTACAGTGGATAATTAAATGCAATTAATCTTAATTAATCTTGGGGAGGATTCTTTATAGAAAAAAATGTATAAGAAAAGAAAATGAGAAACTCCGACAGAACCTCCAGGTCAGCCCTCGAGTGAATAAAAAAACAATCGGCCGAACATGTCAGTCACTCGTTAATGTTATTGTAATGCCACATTTGCTTAAAAGGCTTTACTGACTATAGATAAGGTGCTCATTATGGTAAAGCAGCACAGGTGGAGTGTTACAACAAAGAAAACTATCACCAGATCCTGATTTTCCGTCTCTCTCTTGTCACCTTTCCAGACATATCGGTGAGTCTGCTGTCGCTCGTCGTGACCGCCTGCGGCTTGGCCCTGTTTGGAGTCTCCCTCTTTGTCTCTTGGAAGCTCTGCTGGATACCATGGAGGGAGCGCGGGCTCTCCCCCACCACCAAGGAGGCCCACGGGCACCTCAACCCCACCATGAGCCCTCTGCCCGCACAGCCTGCACCCAGACAGCCGGTGTACACGGCCGTGGACCCCCCGATGCACAACCGCCGTGAGTCGTCGCACTGCTCCATGGCCAGGGAGCCCACTCCCGTGGCGTCCGTGGTGTCGGTGGAGGCTCCTGTGACTCCTGTGTCCCCCCCACCCGTGGTCATGGCCACACCAGAGGCAGCTATGAAGATCAGCCACACATCTCCAGACATACCGCTGGACGCCCAGAGCAAAAGCCGGGAAAATGGGGTTCACACTAACCCCCGTATGCAGAGACAAACCACGGAACCGCCTCCCTCTGGTCGCTCCATGTCGGAAATTGGGTCAGTATAAGCTATTTGTTGATTTTTTTGCCTCTAACACGTCTTCTCTCTTATATGTTCATTGTTTATTCAAAGCTTATTGCTCTTCTACTTGTCTCTCAACACTAGTGTATGTGCCAGCATGAAGGAAATCAGTTCTATTTATGTGCATCGCCAACATGTTTGAGGTTGTTTCTTTCTATTATCAGCACATGATTAGGTTTGAGGGGGATTATGGCAATTAGATGATGGTTGATGTAGGGTTAAGTAGCTGAAAAGTTTGGGTAAATTTAGAAATTTGGTAAGCTTAGACGACTAAAACATTCAGGCAAAAATTAATATTAACTGCATATATGTCAGCTATGTGACAGACTGAAAACCCGACAGCTATACATTAATAACTCACCCCAAACTTCTCGCTCTATCTTTCTGCTTGGCTACTTAAAGGACGCACTGCTTTCTGCGATGGCAGGCAACACTGGCCCCAGATATAAATTATGTGCACACAATCGTCTATTATTGATGCGACGACTGAAATGCGGCGCTTGTGTTTCTGCGTGCCCTTTCTTCATTGCGTAAATGTTGTATGACTATCGTTGTTGATTTCCTCTGTTCACAGACAAGGGTCCATCCGCAGACACATGAACCTCTCTAACCCAGACTTCAACGTGGCCCAGTTCCAAAGGCAGGACTCCCTCACCGGAATGGGCCTGGGCCTGGGCCGCCTCAAACCGGAGCTCTACAAACAGCGCTCCCTCGAGGGCGACGAAGGCAGTCGGAGAGGCGGAGGCTGTGGGTGCCTCCACTTCATCCTCAAATTTGACTGCGACCTCGAACAGTTAATAGTTAAGATCCACAAAGCAGAGGACCTCCCAGCCAAGGACTTCTCCGGTACCTCTGACCCGTACGTTAAGATCTACCTGCTGCCCGACCGCAAGACCAAGCACCAGACCAAGGTGCACCGCAAGACGCTGAACCCTGTGTTCGACGAGGTCTTCCTGTTCCCCGTGGCGTACTCCGAGCTTCCCACGCGCAAGCTGCACTTCAGCGTCTACGACTTCGATCGCTTTTCGCGTCATGACATTATCGGTCAAGTGGTGGTGGACAACTTCCTGGATCTGGCTGATTTCCCCAGGGAGACCAAGCTCTGCCGGGACATTCAGTACGTCTCCTCGGTGAGTCAGTTCACAATTATGTCTTGTTCGCTTAGTTATTTATGAGTGGCATTTCAAGTGTGGCAGATTGGTTGCAACAGTACTCGGAGTTACGTATTTGTTCTTTCATTTCAGCACTAAGTGTCCCACATTGACAGTACAAAGCATAAAATAAAAATGACAGCTTTTTTTTAAACACACTGAGCTGTCAGCGCTGAACAAACGGGAGAAGGCATAGTTGGTAGGTAATGTAAAAAGGTCTCCGCTTTGAAAAAGACGATTTCTCTTGATGACTTCGCCGTGTCTCTCTCTGTATACCGGTGCGATGGAGAGTGTTGCAGCAATGAAGAAAGCTTTTGATCAGACATGGTTGTGCAGTATTTCACTGACTAGCTACCACACAATACATCTCAGACATTACATAAGAGCATTTACTGTCTTTTTTTTGTTGTTGTTGTTGAGCAGTTTACAATGTTGTTCTGCAGCTATGAAACATAGTGGGAGGTGTCGTAGATGAAGCTTTAAGATTGCTGTTCCTGAATCTTGCATACACTTTAAAGACAGACGACACAGTGAAGGACAAAGGCATGTTACCGGTAAACACATTTGCAGCATCGGCCACTACTTATCTAAACTCTGTTTGCTCTGCTGGAAGCGCCCTCTGAACACGAGTAAATTAAATCCTGCGAGAAGGTCAATAGAGTTAAAGGCCCCTCGCCATGCTACCTTACCGACTCTGTGTGTGTGTTTGCATGCCTGTTTTTGCGAGGACCACTTTGAGATCTGTGGAGAAAATATTGTAAAGTGGTGTAAAAGCTGACTTGAGCCGTACTGTGCTATGTGGTCACCTGTTGTTGTTGCTATTGCCTTCCTGCTCGTCCTGCTGTCACACAAGCCAGAGCTCTCAATCACGTTTTTTCTCGACTGCTCCCTGTAGATATCTGCAAACACGCTTTCTAATACACAGCATCCATAGATATTTATAGGTAAATGCTTCCAGTGATTGTTTTATTGATGGGCGTCTCAGCGTGCGAGCTTAACTACCTGTTACGTGCCATTGATTCCATTCTTCATGCATGCTTAAGTAGTATGAATAGGAGTCCCAGCCATTGATTGCCGCAAACAATTCATTTCATCCAAGGAAACTCAATAAGCCGAGATCGATGAGGCGCAGCTGGTTAAAGGAGAACTATGTTGGTAAACAACATGCCGGGTTACGTCGACGATAACGGCATGTTACTGGTTAAAATAATCGCTGAAATCTTGGTTGAAACTCGGCTAAAAAAAGGTCATAACAGCAGGTACAACAATCCAATAGGAACAACAACCACAGTCTATAAACTGTGATGCATGTCTACAATGCACAGTTTAGATTTTAATCCACCTTTACTTCTAAATTAGTTTAACCAATGTGATATGTTGTGTGTCCTTGTTCCCTCTTTATATTATTACAGTGTTATCCAGCATGTTCAAGCCGTAATATCCGGCATTTTTTCTTTCTTTTAAACCATCCTTTGCCACTGTGCAGTATCCAGAGCAGCATGGGAGTAATGACAAGAGTGTGTGTTGTGTGTGTGTGTGTCTCTTGTGCATCTAATAAGCAAAGCATCCTCTGCCTATGTCCAGGTTTGTCTCCTGCAGCTCTCCTCCTCACAGCATTTTCAAACGTCTACGCTGCAGCCAATTCAGTTTAGTGAGATTTGCAACCTTAGTTACCTGAATTTGTTTAATCCACCCGTCAGTCAGGGCTAAATATAGCCACAGTGGTGACAGGATGTAATTTAGCAAGAGAAAGAACAAGAACAACACAAACTTTTAGAACGCTTCTAAACACATTTTTCTCTGCAGTCATTCGTTCTTTCATTCAGAACGGTTGTGTGTCATTTTTATGTATGAATCTTGTTACGCTGGCCAGATGGTAGTCTGGTAGGAGAGCAGAAATACATTCGAAAGGCATCTGCTGAGCATGCTTTGGTCGTGGTACAAATGTGTACAAGCTCTAAAATAGGAAGAAAACAAACTTCAGCAAGGTATTTTTTTTTACCTACATGAGCATTCTTACGGTATATACATATTATTTATATATAAAGTCAGTGGCGCACAGAGAAAAGCAGCTTAGAGGGTTCTACACTACAGAACATCAGCCTCAATCAGAATGTGAGAGCTGCAATTAGTCATGCTGTGAAAACTGAATATTTTTACATGGGTAATCTGTTGCGTTGAGTTGTGTACTGCCTGACAATTTGAGTTGTGCCTTTGTGCTTTAATGTGGTCAAAGATTTTAAAACTGGAGTTTGGCTTGTGGAGTTACATGTGGGAAAATCTGAATACGACTGCTTAGCCCTGGAAGAATCCCAAATCAATTTTACCCCTTAAAAATCGAAATGGAGATAAGCAGCCTAGAAAACTCGGGAATTTTGTTCCCTTAATTCGTTCCGTCAGATTGCTGTCTCTCCCAAATCACTGGCTCGCAGTTTAAGAGCAGGCGATGTGGAAACTGCAGTGCACGGGTTAGTTGAGCTGGTTAGCAAGATAACCTTGTGTTTTTGCTTAATGACGAGCGGTACACCGGGGAACACTTCTACAATCATCAAAATTCATTCTTAACAGTTTGTGAACCTGCACCTTGAATTTTAAGAGACTTTCAGTAATCATGCAAATGTATTTCCACCACTGGGTTTCTCAGGCTGCAAAAGCAAATAATGATTGCAATGCTGTTGAGGTGACTCTTCCAGTACACACCCATGAGACTGTGAACGCTCCTGTTTACTGTTTCTTTGAGTCGACACTCAAAGGAAAGACACTGTAAGACTTTTGAAGGCGTGCCGTGGTAGGGCTGGGCCATATCATACCGTGCACAGTAATGTTAGGGGATGATATGAAATGTAAACATTGTGATAAAATTTGACGCACATGTGCAGTGCCGTTGTTTTCCTCCAGTCTAATGCACATGGACGAGAAGCATGGCGGCGACCGAGGAGGAGGGCGAATGCAGTCGACCGACACAGGAGGGCTGGACTCAAATATTGGGATATTCGGTCGTTGTGGTGGTGTCCTGCACTTTACTTTTGTGGATACTATGCATCGTTATGCTCAGGATTTGTCATAGACTGTATAAAAGATGGACGTAGCAACTGGCCCTGAAAAATGAAGCCAACCCGGAAGTGTCAAAAACCTGCAATATCACTACGTCCGCTAGCTGCTGGCTCCATAAAGCCCTGGCTCCCATAGACTTGAATTGGAAAAGAAGTGATCACAGATCACGAAATACCGCATTCCTACAGCTCAGGATTTTTTTCTTATTAGTTTTCATAGTCAAGTCCAGAGATCAGGTGGCCAATCTGAAAATAAATCAATACTGAATTTTTAAGAAATCGTCAACATTTTGCGGGGCAAGGGGCGTGGCTGGCTTGATCGACAGTCGGCAGCGACGATGCAGACGAAGCGAGCAGAAGGCGGTAAATATGGGCGGGCAGAGAGGGCCTGCCTCTCAATCCGTCTGACCAATCGCTGCTCCTATGGCTCCGCCCCCCTCCGACGATTTTTACGTCATTGGCTCCAAAAATCCAAGATGTCAACCAGGAAGTAGCAAAACCCTGGCTTCATTTTCTCAGTGCAGAAACCAACGGGTGACGTCACGGTAGTTACGTCCATCTTTTATACACTCTATGGGATTTGTCAGCCCATTTCCATTTGAAATGCCTTTGATTAAGCAATTTACAACTTATGCACCACTGATTTTGGTACAATATATAGCTTTAATGCACATCAAAAACAGCTACTTGCTAAATGGAAAAAGAAAAATGTTCTTTTTTTAAAATTTGCACCAATAAAGTTGTGCAGTTTTGAAGTATTTAGTCTAGCATCAATTATATCGTTATCGCAAATTTTCTCATTTATATCGTGATAAATATTTTTGGCCCTGTGCTGTGGTATCTTGCACCAATATATTACAGCAGCTGATTCTTTAACCCCTTCCACCCTGAATGTCCCTGCACTGGGACCAGGCCATATAAAAGTGCAACTGGTGCCATTTGTCAAACATTGCCAAGCGTGGCACATTCACTGGCACGCTGAGGAGGCCGCCTGAGTTCTGCTGTCACTGAAATGGACGTAGCATTCGTTGCGCTTCACTTCTGCTGCATAAAATTTGGTGAAGTTGCAGCTGAGAATTTTTAGAACGCGCTCAGTAACATCAGTCTCCAGTGACTCATTGCCATAAGGCTGTTAATTACTCTCCACAGTTTTGACTAAGCGGAAGTAAAAAAGGTCAAATTTTGCTGGAGTTTTTCCAATCTCCCTCTGCCCTGGTGGTAAGATAAGGAGACTTATTATATTTTAAAATTCTCCCAAGCGTGTCTTATTCAGAGAGCCCAACACTGTTCATATAGGCCTCTCAGTTTTTGCAGCTGTTACTGACTCAATTTGACAAGGAGGTGGTGCTGCAAATTAGACAATTCCAGCTCACATTCACACACATGTTGGTGCTGCTCTGACCCATTGTGTGCCCACAATGATCTGGGTTTTGTCAAAGTTGCTCAGGTCTTTACATCTCTTTAACGTATTGACTACAAGGTCTGACTGTTCACTTAAGGCGCCTGTGAATAGTATGAATGGATGCGTCTCATTTGATTGTAGTACAAAGAAACTCGTATCTAAAAGATCCAGCGACTTGTTAGAGAGTACAGCTGAATGAAAACAAAAGAACATTTTAAGCAACTCTGTGTAAAGGTAATTAAAAAGCATTAATCAGGGGATGGATAAAGGAAAATTGGCAAGTTACTGAATATTCTTTGGAGTAAAGTTATGATAAAGAAATGGAAGGAACACGGCACATGCGTGAACGTGACTGACTGACCGAGCAAGAAAGACAATCATGAGGTAGGTCATGAAGTCACCTGAGACTCCTATAATGTAATTATGAGCTTCAGTGGCAGAGATGTGAGTGACAACTGTTGTTCTTCATGGGAGACTGGCAAGGAAGAAGCCACTTTTGACAAAAGGTCATATTAAATTTCAGC